GCTTTGGGCTTTAAACACAACTTCTTCCACCCAAACGGAATTGACCTTGACTCGAGTTAATTAGTGGCTGCTCATAAGCACTAATCAAAAGCTCCAATACCAAACACATTCTTCCTATGATTTTAGTCAATGTGGGTTATTGTTCTCATTTCCTTCAAAGTCTCTGGTCTTTATTCATATTCTAAAGATGAAAAAAGGCCAAGTGGATTGCATTAAAAAAAGATGCTGTTCTTGATATAATTATGGAAACAAAGCACACACTACCTAACATCATCCATCTTGATATAAACTTGTAAAAATTTTTTTATTTGAGTGTGTAAATTTTATTTTTTGTTATTTATTTAAATGATTCTATTAACTCAAGGCTAATGTGTTCGTTAATTAAATATATGACACTAATATGTATTGCATTGATGATATAAGCATAGGAGGTGGATTTCATCTTTTTTTCTTTTTTTTATCTAAATGACCAGCTATTACTTGACATAAATAATTAAATTCAATCGTATTTTAACATTTAAAAACAAAAGATAAAACATTATTATTATTATTATTATTATATAGTTATATCATAATTAATTTTTGTGGAGTAAGAGAGGAAGAAGGAGAGAAATGAATTTACACTTAGGTGATTCATTTAATGATCAAGAAGAAGTTAACTCAACATATCATTTTTTTTTTTTATAATTGTATTTTTTTGGGTTTTAATTTTTTATTTGATTAATTTTCAAATTTGTATATGTGCGTTGTGGCTTTCGGCTTTAAACACAACTTCTTCCACCTAAACGGAATTGACCTTGACTTGAGTTAATTAATGGTTGCTCATAAGCATTAATCAAAAGCTCCCACACCAAACACATTCTTCCTATGATTTTAGTCAATGTGGGTTAATGTTCTCATTTCCTTCCAAGTCTCCGGTCTTTGTTCATATTCTAAAGATGAAAAAAGGCCAAGTGGATTGCATAAGAAAAAGATGCTCTTCTTGATATAATTATGGAAACCCGTCGATCACACACTACCTAACATCATCCTTCCTGATCACAAATTTCCATTGAACTTTAGTCCTAAAAGTGTGTGTTAAAAAGACATACCACTTTATTGATTGACTTGCAAAGAAGACTAGCAAAGGTAAGGATAGGAAGACGAAGGCCGACCGCATCTAATTGACTATTATTTGTTACTGAACATATCTCGCCGACCATTACTTTTACCTAATCCACTCGTTTTTTCAGGTTAACCCAAAAGAATGGCCAGAACTGAAAGGGGAATTATTGCATTTTGCCATAGTTATGTTAATCTTTTTTAGTTGGAGATATATCCCTGTTTAGGAGACACCATTTCCTTAAAAACTCAACAATACAAGTTGGAGAGGCAACTTCCATATCTTTACATGCTAATTAATTAAATTAGGTTTTGTTTTGCATGCAATGATGAAGACAACCCTAGTCAAAACTTGCCTAACATGCACTTTCACACCTTTAAATGAGCCTAATTCACACTTTATTTTGTCCTTGTAGGTATATTAATTAGACTAATCAATCTTGTGCATGCCTAATATATATAGTTTATGCTAGATTCTTCGGTTCTTGCCAAGAATTGAGCACTCATCTACATCTATCCTCTGATTTATAATATCCCGTCAAACTCTTCAAATATTTTTTCTGTAAAGATCCTTTTATCATTACGTTTTTAGTCCGTATGCCTGTATGATACATTGTTTTAGAGTAAACTCTTCCAATTTTGAAAATTGTACAATTAAAGAAATAAAAATAATCACGTAACAATTCATTTTGATAAATTAAGTTAATTTGTTTCGGTTATTTTTTTCTGAATTAATTTACAAAAAAAAACAGGTATCAAGCATTTAGCTTGGTACTCTAATAAAAAAATGTCACATAGACCTAGAATTAACTATATATAAATCGAATGACAGATTCAATACAAATTAAAAGTTATATGAGCTTAATTGACACCAAAAAAAAAAAAAACTCCAATAAAAAAAATTGAAAGAATACAGAAATCAAATTAAACAATACGGAAAGCTTCTGGTTCAACTTATCAACTACACAACGTAGATTCTAAATTTTAGCAGTAATGTACATGCAATGATTTAGTAATTACTTCTTGTCTGATCAGTTCTGTCTTTGGGATGAATTTGTTAGCTACCAATCTGAACGGACTACATTGGTTTCCATGGCGCCATCCCAATTAGCTGAGAATGACATATAAAGATATTTATAAAAGTAAAATACAAGTGGAGTTAGATAAGTTGAAAATTTAGTTTCAATTGTCACGAAAATTCATCCGATAATATCATAAATGATAAAAAAAAGTTATATATATATATAAACTTGACGATGGTTTAAAGTAAAAATAAAAAATGATGAATTTAATTTTAATTTATGTAAAAAATCATCTGATAATATCAAAAAATAAATAAATAAAAGTTATCTTTATAGTAGTAGTGATAAGATTATATTAATAAGAGTGTGAATCTGGATAGTCATCAAATTTAAATAGAATTTATAAATAAATATGATTTTTTAGAATATAAAAGCGCTATATTAATAATTAATAGAAAATAATTATCCGATTCTATTTTCTGTAATAACGGATAATGCATCACCTCATCAAATGTTTGTCAACAGATGGTCCAAAACCGTTAACTTTACCCGACAATCAATAATAGATGGAGCATGAAGTTTGGATCCCAAGCCAACCTTACCGAAAGATGAGAGTAACCTCTTTGTTTGTTTTTTTCTAAGACCGTTAAAAAGCAGAATTAAATAGACCGTTTAAGATCGCAATTCAAGTCGCTTGGTGATAAGGAGTGGAATCGAACAGTTACCAGGTTATTACCACAGTCCAACTTGGCCGGTTAGAGGACAGGATCACCCCCTGTTGGATTGGATTGCTTTTCTATCCTTATTGGGGTTTCGAACTTTATCGTCTAAACAGCTGGAAATCACTAAGAGCGTTTTCTAAATTTCAAGAAATTAATTGACTAGCAACAAAAATAGTGACATTTAGCAAGTACTGGTCGACCAGCCAGTCACATTAATTTGTTATGATCTCATCCATATAAATAGATTATGATGTATCTACATAATTACGATTATAACATGTGTTTTTTTTTATTTCATTCAAAAACTAAGATAATGTTTCATTATGACCGAGATTAAAAACTAAGATAATGTTTCATTATGACCAAGATTATTCTAACTAGTCGTTAAGAAGTCACGATTGAATAGAGTCCAAACAATAAATATGTACGAATGATCGGATTAAAAAAATATTTTTTCTTACTTCATAAATGAGAAATTTTTTTTTAATGAAAACATAATTTTTTGAAATATTTGTATTACGTCATTATCAAACATGACTATTCTTATATCGTTAACTAACGATATTTGTCTAAAAAAATCATAAATCCTCAAATAACGTTAAGAACTGTTGTAAGACCAATCTATCCTCTATTCTATATAAATCGATTACATTTTATTCATATAAATTAAAATTAATATGTCAAATATTATACATTCTACTTTCTAAACTCAAACATGTATTGAAGTATAAGAGCTAATTTTTTTAAAACCTACTCCAATAATATGTATCTGTATGAGTTAAATTTAGTTTCGAATGGTCCTTTTCTGATATGAGAAGGACTTGTTTTACATTCATTTGCTTTTGCTATTAATTTAACGTACAATAAACGAACGATCTGAATTAAAAATTATCCAACCATCAATCTTGATCAACGACCTCATCAGACCTCTGATCTCATTATTCATATGATCCTTTTAGCGCAAAATCCCGTGAAGTTGGTGAGTCATGCATCGACTCAGTACCTTAATTATATAACAGGCATTTATTGCATGTTCAACCTATTTTAATTTTAATTTTGATCATGCACCTTTCTCTTACTGCCTGCTTAATCCATCACTAAGGAAAATATTTTTGTGAATTATATATATATATATATATATATTACTATTTTTTTGTTTGGTTTGAAAAACATCATAATCTCAGAACCTCCTGTATGGTCTATACTCCATAGTTCTAAACTAAAGCCACCAAAACGAGGAAGAAAAGAAATGGGGTCCCTGACGGAGGTAAAGACGGGGAAGAAAGGAGGGAAATGCTCTCTCTCTCTCAAGCCTAAAGAATGCAAACCCACAGCAGCTAAAAGCCAAATCTCCCGTCAATTCCCACCGTAATATAATAACATAAAATAATAAATAAATTAAAAGCAAACCCATGAAAAGAATCCCCCAGCACCACCAAAGCTCACCCACAAAAGCTGCCCATTATGACTATATATCTTGTAACGTGAAATATTTGTTTTGGACACTTCAAAAACAACCATACCCTTCGTTAGGACATTATGTGGTCCTATACGACGCTAGAGGACAGACTTTGTTATTTGTTGTCTGCTGACCCTAATTAGAAAGATACTACGAACGAGCCCAATTAACCCAAGAAGAAGAACATCAAGATAACCGGATAAGGTATATGACTCAAGAAAAGGGGCAAATGATACGGCCAAAAAGTTCATGATGATAAAAGCTTTTGCATGCACTCAGCAGCAAATGGTTGATTCCGATTCATGCATTGATTTTTTCTCATCTCAATCTCATCGACCATCCATTTAGCAGACACTTTGGAATATATAAATAAAGCTGAAAGACCAGAAAAGATGGCCATATATCCCCTCCACAAGAAAACTAGGGCTATGTTTGGCTGCAAGAGGATCTAAAAAGCCACATCCATTTACAAAAGTGGAGAAGAAGATAATTAAAAGAAAGGATATTCCACCTTCTACAACAAAACAAAACCCCATCATATCTTCTCATTCCCTCTTTTTTTCTTTCCCCTTTCCATCTCCTAAAATTCTCCACATCTAAAAAACCCTACTACCATTCTCAAAATCAAAAGGGAAAAACACATTTAATTTCCGTGTTAGGTTTTTCTTTCTTTTATAAAAGCTCACACCCTACTTTTTAGAACTCTCTAGGGTCAACAAAAATTGACATGCCAGGGGGTGATTTGGTCCAGTCACCAACAGCCCCGTCACTATAGTCCTCCCCGAGCCTTTTGATGCACCACAAGTCCTCTGCGCACGATAGCATTTTCCAGTGTGGTATCCCTAACTTGAGCGGTTCGCGATTTGCTACCTCTGTAGCCACCACCCCACACCCATTCTCTTTCGCCAAGTTGTGCGCGTGGCCACACAATGCTTTCATCAACTTAGCCACGACTGGTCCCTCACCCCCCAAACCGTACATAAAATATAACCCAAAAGGCCTAAACACCGCAGGTACCGAAGGCAACCTCAAAAACGGCAACGCCTTGTCGACAATCCTTGTTGTTTTCGCAAACGTCCGCTTCACGCGTGACACGCCACGCACCTCAAGTCTAAAAACATCCTTACAATTCCACACGCTAAGCACAGCCCATGACTCAGGCGGGTCCGACAAAAATTTATCCGACCCGGCCCACAACCCAGATTTTAAACTGTCACGTGGCACAGCCAGAAAAGTCCCCAAATTAAGCTTGTTTTTGAGAACCGAGTCAATGTCACGAGGGAAAAACTCAGTAGTGGCGAAACGACGTCGGTACAGCATCTCGGCGTCGTACGGGTTCAGTTTGATGATCGTGACTCGGTTTGACACGGTGACTCGGTGAGCAAAGACCGGGTTGACCAAGACGGAAGCAGTACGAAACTTGGAGTAGCCACATTTGTGGGTGAAGAGCTTAACGGAAGCGTGGTTGTCGTTTTCAGTTGCTATGTACGAATATTCAGCGCCGTTTTGACGAAACCAATCTTCCATTTGACGTACCAATTTCAAGCCTACGCCCATCCTCCTAAGAAAAACAAGAAAAGGGAAGATTAAAAAAATAAATAAATAACCAAAAACATACCATTCAATAATTAATAAACACAAAAATTAGTTAAAAGCTTTGAACAGTATTATTATTATTATTGTATACTAAAGACAAAAAGAAAAGATGTTACTAGTCTTAATATTAAAATAGTTCGTTACGGCCCCAATAATTATGGGATATGTCCTTTAATTATAATATAATCAAATTACAGTCGTCTGTCACTGTAACATACGGAAACGAAAATCAGCATTTTTTTTTTTTACTTTACTAGAGATCCCCCCCCCTGCCTGACGTATTCTTGAACTGAAAAAATTAAGTCCATCTCCTCAATCCGATCAAACTTATAAGCAAAGATGAAGACAAAATGCAAAAGAACAAAACATAGCATTAGCAATTAGAATAAAAGTTGATTTAATTGTGTGGAAGATTGGAAAGAGAATAAATTAAGATTAGAAATAGCAGCAGGGGATGTAGAGAGAAGCAGTTACCGGTGGGAAGGAGAGACACGAAGGCCTAAAATGTAAGCTGCTTTCGTGTAAACAGGGACGGGTTTGGAAAGGTCAGTGACATTGATGGCATTGTAGGAGAAGTTGTTTTTCACATTTCTTGAAAGCTTTTTGCCACATGTAACGGTTTTGATGCAACCTCTTATCATCCCCACTACCTCTTCACCAATCTCAGCCACCTGTTCGTGTCATTAATAACATGGACATTGTTGGAAAATGATTTTGATTAGTCAATTCCTTTTCTTTCTTGTAAAGACGGAGGATAATTCAAAAACTAAGGACAAATTAAGAGAAAATGGACAAATAGAATGGTAATGTTTGTATGTACCAGCATGAGGAAAACAGGAGAATTGCGGACCCTGCAAATTGGGTCACCTAAGAGGTCGGTGAAGAGAGAGAGCTTGCCGCTGGGACCAACTTCGCATCTTCTCTCTACTTCTTCAACCCCAACTCCATCTTTACTTGGATCAAACTCTCTCACCACCATCATATCCACTGTCTCTTCTCCCATAATATGCGTATATATGTATGATACTATATTATAAGTAACTAGAACACAACAACAAGAGAGGAGAAAAATGAGTGAAGAAAACCTTGAAGGGCAACTAGGAAGACAACTTCGGTTAGGATTGGCAAAGGATGGTACGTATATATATATTGAGGGAAGACAGGGGATGGATAGCTAGAGAGGTAGGAGACGGAATAACGCGTGAGATCAGCAAGGAAAGAGCAAAGGCTATATTAAGAAGCTATAGCTACCTAGGAGGTACTTCGAAATTAGAGAAACCAAAAAAAAATCAAAAAAGAGAATATCTTGAAACAGCTAAGATATGCTACCAGCTAGCATACATAAGAAAACAACGAGAAGGAAGGATAATCAAAAGGGTTCGTGAAGCCCTTTGAGTTTCTAAGCTGTGGTGATAGCTCTTTCACTTATAGGTAGTGAGTAGTTCATCATCGCAGAGACAGAAGTGCTCTCTTATGGTACCTATAAATACCTGATTTTGGGGTTTTCTTTTCTCTTTTTTTTTTTCAAAAAAAAAAAAATGAAGAAAACTTTCTCTCTCTAGAATCGCCTCACCTCTTTTCCTTTCTCTTTCTCTAATTTTTTTTTTAAATTTAATTCCGTGCTTTTTCAAGTCGCTATCTCTTCTTCTCTCAACTGTCTGTTTATATGTCCTTCGTCTCTCTCTCTCTCTCACACTCGTTGCCGGTAACGATACTATTACTATTGATATTGATTATCCTTTTGAATATTTAGTAATGGGTGGTAATAAATATTAGAAATATCCATCATTGAAAAAAAAATGGAAGAGGAAATGGCGGCTATGGCTGCGCAGTTCTCTCTAACTTACTAGTATTTGATTTTAATCATTTAGGAGGCGTTGCCATCATGACCCCATTTGTAATCATTACCTTTTCAACTTTCCCCACCTCCACCATCATCATCATCTTATCATCATCGTATAAAGTCATACCCATCTCTTAATATCATGCCACCATACCCATGCCACCTCCCACATATATATATATATATATATATATAGAGAGAGAGAGAGAGAGAGAGAGAGACCCCTAAAGGAATTGTTATTAAGATAAATCCTTTTATTGAAAAAGAATAAATAAATGAATATATTTTTATATAATAGTTTTAGTTTTAATTTATATTTATTATATATTTCTAATATTGTTATAATATTCAATCTGTTTTTTAATTAATTTTCTCTGATAAAAAAAAATCCATCAAAATGCCTGTAATTGTTAGTAGTTTTTTTTTTCATTTTAATTATAGATATTTTGATCAAATAAATTTATTTGTTTTCGAAAAATTAATTGAAAATTTAGATTAGAGACTCAAATATTAATTAAAAACATAACAGATATAATTAAAAATCTAAAAAACAGATTAGAAACTCAAATTATTACATAATGATAAATTTATCGATTTAAATATAGATGAATGTTTTAAAATAATTTGATTTATTGAAAAAATAATATTCTAAATATATTTAATATTAATTTAAATTAATAAATAAATAATAAATTTAGTATCAATTTAGGTAAATATTGGCCTAAAACTATCCTACTAAATATTTAAATCTGTCAAAAATGATCTTAAGGAATTTTTTAATTTATCGTGGATTCTAAAGAATGCTTAATTCTGCCAGATATATATATATATATATATATATATATATATATATATATATATATATATATATATGTATATGTATATGTATATATGTATGTATATGTATATATGTATTAATATGTTCATGCATGGTATGGTATGGATTTATGTGGGTATTTATTATTTTTGAAAATTTAAAAGACCTACTAATACTGCTATTATTTGTGAGTTTGTTAACGGAAATTAATAAGGAGAGATGGGAAGTGGCAACGTGGGCGAGTCCCAGGAATTTCGGCCGTTGATTATTTAGTGGGCTACAAAAAGATGGTTGCCTTTGCAATCAAACAGTGAGTATTTTGTGTTTTGGCAAAAAGGAAATAGTGAAACAGAAGATGACAACTACGATTAATAGCGTGGATTTTCCGATCATGATTATCCACAAATCTAATGATGGACGGCCACGATGACCTAAACGGGATTCTGAAACTGTGCCGCCACAATCCACTTTTTTTAAAAAGCCAACAGATTTTACTCTATGATCACCCCTATCAGTAATTCTACTTGTAGCTGAATCTACACCCTACATTATCTACATCATTCTTTCTCTAAATCATTGTGATGTAACGTGACAAGTTAGCTAGGTTCTATCGTAGCTTCACTTTGACTTTTCTCTTCTTTCCTCTCCTTTTCCCCAGCAGTAACTAGAAGGTTAAAATACCTAAAACTGTGTGCGGGTAAATTGGTTTAATCAGTAAAAAAAATAGTATTCGCTTTTGGAAACCATGTTTTTTCACTTTTTTTTAAAAAGCTTTTCGGCTTTTTTTTATCTGAAATTTATTTTAAAAAAATGCTTACTAAAATCCTGAAATCTGTTTTGAATTTGTTTTATCATGAATAAGATATTGACTTTCACATCAATTGTTATGAATAAAAGAGAATATTATTCTCATTAATTGAATTGACCGTCACTATAAATAGCTATTTTAATGTTTTTATAATTGAATTTTTTTAAAAAAATTAAATAAATACTATAAAGAAAAAATTATTTGAACTCATAATCTTTTACGAATCAAAAAAATAGTTTTTGAAAATTATTTAAAAGCTAAAATTTAAATTTTATAAAATAAAGGTTTTAAGTTCTATATAATATAAAAACATTTTAACAACATATATTATCAAATACTTTTTTTATAATTATAGCAAGACTCGTTATTTTTCCAAACGAAACCTAGCTCAATCGACCATGGGATGCAGTAACATGATACCAAAGGCAGGGTAGTGTCTTTTTTCTGAAAAAAAAAAAAAAAAAAGAAGAAGGAATTATTCGGTACTAAAAAATTGCATGTAATTAAATCGATCCAAATAAATAAACCAATGATTAGGGATTTAAGTGGAGACGTCAATGCATCATATATTGTCTTTGTGATCAACAGTTTATTACTCTATGATTTGCATATAAAAGTATTTACGAAAGCATTAGTGGGGCATGCATGCATAAGGATATATTATTATATTGATATTTTTTTTATTTTTTATTTGTAAGTTTTTTTAATTTATTTACTATATATGTCACTGCATGCATCAATAGGAGAGATATTTATTACAGAAAAAATATCACTAATAATATTATAACTCTAGGAAAATGACCTGAAATTATTGGGCATATTAAAGAAAGAAGGAAAATGAAAGGAAGGTCAGTGACAAGTCGGGAGAAGTCAGCATTGAAGTTTCCCAACTAAGGAATATCGACATTTTTTTGAAATATATATTCTAGTTTGCGTAAATATTATATGTACCAACTTTGAGTATAAAACAGATTTTGTGCATTGAAGCTAGCATCTAACAAGAGTATATGATTGTTATGTTTAATACACATGACATGTATACAATTATATGGTATAATATATAGTTTTTTTTTGACAATATATTATAATAATATGGTAGCTTGGCAAAGGAAGTAGAGAAATTCATGGGTCCCTACATTTGATGGGTCCATTGAAAAATCTAGGTGATTAATTAGTCTGCTGATAAACTCTCAATTATTGTCCTAATTAAGAAATAGTATAACATGCTTCTAATAGAGACGTGAAAAATGGCTAAAACATCATAGGCTTGCATTTTTCTAGCTAGGTTTTTCTAGGACAGTAATGCGCAATATACTAGTTAATTAGTGATTATAGGAACCGGGGAGGGGGATATTTTCATGCATACACACGCTCTCTTTCTCTCACGCGCGAGTGCTCACAATTTAATTGAAAAATTGATGAATTTAATTTTAATTAATATAAATATTAATTTGAAAATATTTTAAGATACTACTAATTAAATTCATCGATTAAATTATTATTTTCATCGTTTTTTTAGATAATTATCGATACATCCTCTGACATACTTTTCGTCAATCACTAATATTTATATATTATATAATAAATATTGATGGATAACATATTGATAATTTAAAAAAAAATTACAGAAATAACAATTTGGTTGGTGATAAGAGAGAGAAAAGGCATATATCAGCAATGTTTTTTGACTTATCAGAAAATGAAGAGGCAGGTCATCAATTTTTTTATTTTATTTTAATAGATACTTTAATTAATCGGAAATAATATTGTGGACCACTCGTATAAAAACCAAATTCTAATTCAAATCTTCATTTTTTCTTGAACGAGTTCCGATTCGAATCTGGACTTGGCTCTTTAAAAACATAAATTCCATGAATAAAATGATCACTTGGGTCAAAATACATTTTCACTTTTTTTTTATTATTTCTCTAAATTTTTATGTTCGTGAAGTTAAATGCATCACTAATGCATTTTCAAACTATCTATAATATAAAAAAAATTTATGGTATCTAAAAAGTAACTATCGGTGTTTATTCTATAGAAAAAAGATAGTATTTAAAGATAAATAGGAAAAAGAAAAAGAATGCAATAAATTAAGGTGTAAATATGTTTATTATTTTCTATGGATCTAAATGTGATTTTAAAAAAAATAAATTAATAAAATAAGTATTAATAATTATTTCTAAAGTATTTTATAATTTCTCCAGTACCCATTACTATGGTTCAAATTCATTTCATTGAGGATAATAATTTTCTCCAATTCTGATAGGTGGAAACTTCTTTATGTCATTAAGTATCATAATATATATTAAAATTAAGGATGGTGTTGTTCCTAGTCCACAATTTTTCTATTTCACTTCACTAGTTTCTGTAATGTCTAATATGTTAATATTAAATATGTCTTGATTACCCTATAATTTCAAATTCTAAAATAATTTCTTTTTATCTTTTTTTAAACAATAATAATAAAAAACTATTCTAAAAAAATAATAAGAAGAAGAAAGAGTATAAAAAAGAAAGAAAGAAAAGGGGGAAAGGCCTATATTTGAAGAATTTTATTTTATCTTCAATGGTTCAAAATTTGTACTTCACAATATATTTTTTTCTTAATATATTTTGAGGGGGTCTAACATGTAAAATAGGGATCTTTATCTACAATTACCATAATTTTTAATTCTTAATATGTATCTTTAAATAATAAAGTCATTAAATCATAAACAATACTAAACTATTAGCAACAATTTATGATTTATAGTATACGATCTTTGCTACACATTAAATAAAGTTATCTTCATCCCTACAGTAAATAATGGAGTGAGAGTAACGAGAAATAGAGTGGAAACAACACCACCCTAAATTAAAAGAATTATTTTCTCACCTCATGATATCTAAACATTACAAAAAAAAAAAAAAAAATTATTATCTCACCTCATGATATCTAAACATTACATAAAGACTGATACCGCCAGTTATAGAAAAAGAAATTAAAGGAAAGAAAAACCAAGAAAAACAGATGCAGGAAACGAATGGAAATTATAGAAAAAGAAAATTACATACACACTAAGAAATATATCTAGATTCTGTTTGCTACCATTTCTTTTTTCTTGCTATATATATAAAGCAAACAAACAAACCAAAGACTATATATTTTTTATTTATTGGTTATGGTTCTCTGAAAACTATTTTTTTTTTTAACGAAAGTATCCAAAGAAAAAATTCTTATACAAACTCAATTCAATTTAAAATAAAACATATTATTAGTTAAAATATAAAATCTAATACTACTATATAATTTAATTATCACGATGAAATGTTGACATGTCAATAATGATCATGGTGATGACCACGACATGGTAGTGTATATAAATATTAAGAAAATAATAATAATAATAGTTATAGTAATTATACAAAATTTATATACGATAATTGTGATTCATTCTTCGATAAATAATTATAATTGTAGTGGACGATAATGATGCTATAAAAATAAAAAAATAGAATGGAGATGATAAAAACTTTCATTATATGTTGGCAAAGGTTATTGACGCGGTGGTGGTAAAGTTAATGATAATATATAATGGTTATATTAAAGAAGGAAGTGGTGATTTTGATGTCTATGGCGGTGATGGTTTTACTATGAGAATGATAATTGATAGTGTGATAATTACGGTTGTAGTAGGAATATTGGTAATGTAATATATTGTCCATAAAAAAAAAACTAAAAAAATAAAAATAATAATCTACTTTTTTAAAAAAAATATTTATTTCAGTTATTAAAATTGTTCACATAAAAGAATAAATAACGTAGTTCAACACTTCAACTGAATGTATTTAAAAAAAAAAAAAACCAGCAAAAAATCATAACGAACAACACCTTAATTATCTATATATATTGACTATTATATTCAATCTTTCAATGCAGAGTCAACATATCCATGCAACATGGCCTTATGCCATTTTGTCTTACTATTACACAACAGCAAACATTACATGCCAAAAAAAGAAAAAGTATCATACTTTAAAATTGACAAAGCGATTTAAGAAGGAAGAAAAATGAAAATGATGATGATCTTACTGATTATGACAAAATTGACATTGGATGAGCAATGATATATATGATGATGATGATGATATTAACATCTCGAATTAAAATTAGTATGAGGGTGATCGATGATGACATTTATAAATAAATGGGTTATTTCGTATTACAAAAAACAAACTTTGAGGAATTTGGTGAAACTAGTATTATTATTATTTATCTATAAAACTAGTGATGTTATAAGATATTTTTAAAGAATAATAAAAATTATTCTTGGAGTTTTATTAAAAAGTTTAAATTTTTAAAATGATTTTTTTTTAATATAATATCATGTTCTTGCTAACTAAACAATTATGAGTTCGAATTTCATCATTTTTACTCTTATTTTTATAATTAAATTAAAAAAATAAACACAAGACAATTATAAATTTGTATAAATTTTAAGGTTAACTTTTACTTGAAAATGCGCTAAAAATAATATAAATTATTTATGAAAGCTTACCAAAAAAAATTAAACTTTTGAGTCAAAGTGGTTATATAACGGATATTAATGAAAGAAAAAAGCTTTTGTTAGGGTTTATTCTATTAAGCAAAAGAAACAAGACAATTTCAATGTCTTCGATCCAAAAGATGGACGGTCAAAATTGGGGAAGCATATTTCATAATATATAATAGATGGTTCATGGAAAATATTGGGATTAGAATAAAGTAACAAATGGTGATATATATTCTTGCTCATCATTAAACAATCCTTGTATGCTTTAGATGATACTAAGAATCCACCACCATTTTAATCATCATAATATTCTTTGTCTAGATGATTGTCGAGGGTCCACTAGATTTGGAATCAAAGAGAGTTATTTGATGTCGATTTCTATACAAGTAAGAAAAGCCAATGACTTTGATTTGTTGACTCACTTCAACTGAGAATTATACGAGGAGATCATGAGCTAATTAAAAGTGTCTCCTGTTCAAGTTATGTGGTTCGGAATCTTACTTGTTTATGGGTTAATCAACTTGACTGAACTGTTGATCGGATCAAAATGTGAAGATTATGGTGACGAAAGAGCTGACAGGCTCGTTAATCATAATAAAACACATGATTCTTGCGAAGTTTTTGGCTTTTGTTCCATTTTCATGCTTCATTTTGTTCCTTTGGTAAAGCTTTAGAGCTTTATAGAAACATTATTTTATGCGGATAATGGATGGATATCAAGAGACGAATGCATATTTCCATATGATTTTGTTCTACATTGGCCAATCAACTGAAGAGGAACATCCAAGAAATAATTAGGGTTCAACCAGCTAGGACCACTATTCCACAACTCATATTTTGAACAGAAACCCTAATATCAAGACCACGATGGTAACCTACCTATGATGTCAAACTTGTAATAAATTAAAATTTTGGTTTCAGTCAAGAAGAAGAACATGGGTCCTCGACACGTATCATGTTAACATGTTTCACCCGGATGATAAATTACACAAATAGAGAAACACAGTTAGAGACAAATGCCAGGACAATTGCCTCGAAATGATAACGGTGAGGATTCTGTTCCCTTTTTTGTAATCTTGCTTATGATCCGTACAGGCCTTTTTATCCCCATCATATACTAATCAATAATGCTGGCAGAGCACAACCAACTTTGTAGGGCCAAAAAGAAACATTAAGTCCTCATATTAGGTTATGTCTCTTCTTGGATATCGCATGCAGAGAGATTAGAGAACATGATGATCCAAACTAATCCATGTTGAATAATCTGTAACCCTAGCTATCTAACCTTGTATGGCAAACCAACAAGAAACACTAGAAAAATTAGCAAGTAGGTAACATGTTTACAATCGTTTTGAAAATTGTCTTGCCCAATGGAAACGAGGAAATAACAAGATTGTTAATGTGGGTTATTAAATATTGCTCAAGACAGTTGGAAAGTAGGGATTTGACGAACAAGTTGACCCACCAAAGATTATAGAAGATCATATGAGTGGATGGTGTATGGCTCGAGAAATTATATGTTAGGAGAGTATTAGTTAAGTGCTAATCTTTTTCTCTCTTCTTTCCCTCTTTGTTTTGTTGTGAAAAAAATAAAAACAAAGGTGGCCATGACTTGTACAGGCTCCACCTGGGATCTTTTTGGCATCGAGACCTTCAAATTTGACCCGGCAAAAATGATAATTATATGGTCCATAAAATCATTTAAAAAGTCGCAAATATTTTAAACCCAAAAATAAAAGAAACCCTGCGACGATGAAAACAGACCCTAGCTAGACTTTGTTCTCTTCTCGTTACCCTTTTTTTTTTTTTTTGGGTCGGTGACATAAGAGAGAAGCTTTTGAGTTTTGACCTCGTTGTGTGAACAAATAATGATGTATTTTTATTCCACAAACGTCATACCAAAAATCACATCCACGAGAGAGAGAGAGAGAGAAGGAAACTACCCTGTTAAGCATTTGGTGACCAAAACGCCCTTTTCATATTTATCCATTTGTTTAAAAAAAAAACTTGTTTCAATGGAGTACAGCTTTGAATGTTTGGGTTTTGACAGAGAGAGAGGGAGACAAAGAGCAGAGATAGGGTTGATTTGTAGTGTACTTTGCGATGAGAGAGTTTGCGAGCTAAGGGGGACTGTATTTGAAGAGCTGTCATTTCTCTCAAATCGTTAATTTTTATTTGGTTTTGAGCATTTTTGTATGCTAGGAGACCGACACTAGGGTGCGGCCATGGCTCGGCCAAATCCCCAAGATTATGCACCCATGTCTCATCACCCATCCCGTCTTCTCTATATCATATGATCTTAATTACTGTTTATACATACTTTCGAAATGACCTTTCATCATGATCACGTTTATCTTGACGCGTGCACGTCATGCATTTGACTCTTCACTTTGGCCTCATCGCTAACTCAAATCCTCAACTTATTGGTTGGAAACTTCCTGTACTCACACACTAGGGAAAGGGGGAGAGAAGGACGTGCACGAAATGGAAAACGACACAAAAGATATTTTTACATTAGCTTTCACTCATGAGTGAATTCTCACCCATCCTATCAATCAACGTGAGTCTTTTCTGTATGATTTTTTATGGACACTCTTTTTTTTTAAATAAAAAGTTTCAATTTAAACAATTAAATATTAGTGATGTGATCCGTTACATGATGGTACGCCCAGTGTTTGAAATGCCTAATAACAAATAAGAAATTAGTTACAGCTAGATAACCACTGGGGTTACGTTTCCTAATTATTAAGAGGTAAATATATAATTATATATATATATATAAAAATAATAACAAAACATAAAGTATTGAAGTACAAAAATAAAAAGTCACCAAAGAGCATGAAACACTATCAATGATCATGTATCATCACAAAAAAAAAAACCTTAAAAGAACCAAAAGCTTATAAATACTAGCTACCACAAGGAAAAAAAAAACAAAAATTAACGATCAATTCAACAATACTTACAAAAAATTAAAAAAAAGTTCTCAAAACATTATTTCAAGTCTCTGTACTTTTAAAACTTATTAGACAACATATTGTAAATATTAGTTAATAGACGAGTAATCAAAATAGATTAATAGAGTTGTTTTATGGTACTATATTATTGTTGTAACTCATGTTTATGATCCTTAACAATTGAATTTCTACCCAAATATCATATCCGGAGGAAGATATCCATTTATAAATATTCTTTTTTATCAATAAATAAAAGTTTTTTTAAAATTTTGAATATTATTTTATCTTTTGTTTGAAAATCTTTGTAACTAAGACCGGAACAAAAGAACGTATAATAATTTTTCTGATGATCACAATAAGAGTGTCAATCATATTTTTAATATGACACCAAATTATCAAGACTTTAATGAAAAAAAATCAATTCAAAAGATGTCAACTTTTGGGACTCTTTATCTAAACAATTTTCTAAAAAAAGATTGTAGTGACGAGAACAAATTTATTATAATGAAAAAGAGTCATTCCATAAAATATTAACTTATGAAGCTAGAGAGGAATTGAAACAACAAGATCAAGATATTCCTAAACCCTTGACAGTAGAAGAAAGGTTTATAAGGACTTGTAAAGAGATAGACATCAAGCATATGACCACGACTCTACAATTAAATGAGCAACATAAACTGAAAATAAAAGTCATAGAAGATCATTAAAAGTAATTAAAGTTGGTTAATAACAAGACAATTCTGTCTACAAAGACATATAATAATTGACATCAGGATGTAATAGGATGTAAAAGCTATGATGGAATATATAATTCATCATTTAAATCTAAACTTTTTATATAAAAACTCCAAGTTATTAGAGAAATTATTCATCCTATAAAAAAAAATCATTTATAGATCTAGATATTGACTCTACAGGAGCTAAAATATTCAATTACAAATCTACATGGATTAATTTTTTTGGGATTGAAAGCTACAATTATAGATTTTGTGCATATAAATTTTGCAAGAACTAGGAGCTCCAATTATAGATCAACAGATACAAACTTTACAAGAATTGAAAGCTAAAATTACATGTTTACAGTTATTGATTTTATTGAGAAGGTTTGCATGTACTAGAAATTATAATTGCAGAACTGTAAATGGGAAAGCTGTGGACGCTTGGCTCCCAACTAAACTGGAACTTTGACCATGTGATTTCATTTTCAATGACATGGTAGAGATAGGGTTTCTTGTCCTTGCATGAGTCAACCTGCCATTTTAACTCTATCACCAATTTGACCTTTATCTCTCTAGTATCTAGCCACATTGACGTCAAGCAAAATCTTAAAAGAAAAGTACTCTATTCCCAAGAAATAATGGCAAAATCTGCTTGAGTAAATTATAAATTAGTCCTTTCAATTTCAAAAAAAAAAAAAATTAATTGATTTTTTTTGAAAAAAAAATTATTATTTAATCTCTATATTTATATTTTTTATATAATTTAATCTTTTTGTTCCTTTACAATTTATTTTTATTTTTTATTTTAAAAATAATAAATAAATAGAAAATCATTGATAAGAAAAATTGACATTTTATGAAATAAAATAATATTAAATTAAGTATAGTCAATACTAATAAAAAACTAAATAATTAATTTTTTTAAAAAAATAAAACTAATTAATTCATTTTAAAAAAATAAGGACTAATCTATAATTTACTCCAATCTGCTTTATATGATTTTTTTTGGGTACAAATTAAAGAAATGTAGGGAGTTTCGGATGGAATGACATAAGCACTTATTGTTAGGTTTCCACGAAGCCGGTGCCCCAATGAATTGAACCTCTAAGGTTTTATCCTTTGCTTTTTATTCGGACAAGCAAATTGATAAAACCATTGTAAATGGAACACCGAACAGTCTAAACTGATTGCATTCAATAATGCTGCAACAGAATGACCTACTAAATCTACAATGGTCAGCAAGCTGTTATAAGCTTGCAGAATTTAAGGAAATCCTACGAAATTTGTGCCTCGATGTGTCCAAAACGATTTTAAGAAAATAACTAAATTTAGTCGTTTGAAAAAATTAGTATCTCAATTTTTAATTTATATTCTGATCTTCCTAATTTTTTTTATTTTAAATTTAGTTCATCTTATCGTTTTGAGCTATCACCTTTTTTCTCTAAAAAATTTAAATTTTCATATTTTGATTTCAAATTTTAAACACACCTTGAGAGAAATCCGATTTATTTTATCCAGATTTTTTTAAGATTAAAAATTATATTTGTTTATTTTTTAAACATTAAAAATGTAAAAAAAAAAACTAGAATATAACTTTGAATGATTCCAAATATTTTATAAAAATCCAATTTTTAATTTATAATTGTTATTTAGATAAATTTTATTGAATGATTCCAAATATTTGCTTTTATTTTATGTTTAATATTTTCCCGTTTAACTTTTTTTTATTTTTTAAAACCAATATGGGAAAAATTA